TGGTCTGGCCAGCTCCCTTTTTTCTCAGATTCCCACTCTCGTCAGCCTCCCTCCACACCCCCTAAGCAACCAGCTGCCTCTCTGCTTCGCCCTTCTCTGCCAAGTACTCTCCGTGTTAACACTCTTCCTTGTCATGACTAAGGTTTAGAGTGTTTGGTGGGTGGCCTGTCCCTAAAGCACTCACGCAGGTGTCACTAGGATTCCTACTTTTTCCTTCCCAGTGCCAAGACAACCACCCGTTTCTACACAAAGCTGCTTGCCTTCTCTTAAATATCCACCGCCTTCTTTTACCGGTGATACAGTCTGCCATTCTCAGTGGACTTTTCCATGGAGGAAGCTGTTAGTAACCCTGGGAATATGTATAGGGCCACTTACCTGGAGATCAGCCCTGGGGCAGGCCCTGAAGGAGCTAACCCCCCCCCCCCCCCCCCCCCCCCACTGAGGAGCCATCAGTCAGCAACCACAGCCTATTACTCTGGTTTGCTTCTATGCTGCTGTGAAAAAGCCCCAAAACAACCTTGGCTAACAGGGTGCAGTGCATCATGAGGGGAAGCCAAGACAGGAGGGCAAACTCACGACAGGAGTGTGGCCAGAGATTATGGAGGAACGCTGTCTACAGGATTGCTCAGCCACTTTTTTTTTTTTTTTTTTTTTTTTAAATACAGTTCAGGGCTCCTGCCCAGGATAGCACTGCCTACAGCACACACCAACTAGCAATCAAGAAAATACCCCACAGACATGCCACAAGATCAGTCTGACAGAGGCAGTCCTTCAATTTAGGGCTCCCCTCCCCAGGTATGTCGCTTTGACAACTGAAGCTAATGTGACACTTATTTTATTCACAAGTTTGCTTTATAAAGTATATTCTGGCACAGGAAAATGAACAGAGCAGTGACCTTGGTAGCCATGGATTTCTATGAGAGGCTGTAGACCAGGCTGGCCTTGAGCTCAGAGATCCACCTGCCTCTGTCTCCCGAGTGGTGAGAGTAAAGGCACTTGCCACCACTGCCAGGCACCTTTTGGAAAGTTTTGTATTTTAGATTTATTTCTGTGTGTATGAGTGTGTAGGCCATACGTATACAGATGCCTGCAGAGGCCAGAAGAAGGTGTCAAATCCGGTGGGGCTGGAGCTATTGGCAGTTGTGATGAGTGCACACTCAGGTCCTCTGCAAGACCAGCAACCACTCTTAACCTCTGAGCCACCTCTCCAGCCCCCCCCCCCCCCCGCAGGTTCCCACCGTGTACGTGTTCATTAGTGTGTGTGTGAGTGTGTGAGAGAGAATCTTAACTATGGTAATTCTGGAACTGTGTTCCCCAAGCTGTCCTTGAACTCCTGGTAATTCTTTTGCCTCAGCCTCCTGAGTGCTGGGGTTACACAGGTACCACCATGTCTGGATGCTTTTTTTTTTTTTTTTTTTTTTTCTCTTTTTTTCTGTGTATGTATGTGTATGGACAAATGTATGCACTCATGTAGAGAAAGGTCAGAGGACAACTTGGGAACTGCTCTCTCCTTCCACTGTGTGGCTAGTGGGTACTGAGCGCAGGCTGTCAGGTCTGGGAGCAAGTGCCTTTAACAGTGAGCCAGCTCATCAGCTTTGTTTTTTTATTTTTAAGCTTTATTTATTTATTATTTACACAGTGTTCTGCCTGGATGTGTGCCTTCAGGCAAGCAAGGGACACCAGATCTCAAAGGTGGTTGTGAACCATCATGTGGTTGCTGGGAATTGAACTCGGGACCTCTGGAAGAGCAGCCAGTGCTCTTAACCTCTGAGCCATCTCTCCAGCTGCCCCCCCCTCAATTATCTTTTATAATTTTATTATTTTTTGAAGTTCTGGTGATCAGATATAAGACATCAAACATGTGAGATAAGCCTGATGCCAGACACACTTCTCTACCTCTGTTTTTGAAGTTTAAATTGTAAAAGTAGTCGGGCACGGTGGCATGTCTGTAATCTCTCCAGGCCAGCGGTCATCAACCTTCCTAACGCTACCACCCTTTGATACAGTTCCTTATGTTGTGGGGACCCCAACCATAAAATTATTTTCATTGATGCTTCATAACTGTTATTTTGCTGCTATGCATCATAATGTAAATATCTGCATTTGTTTTTTTCTGATGGTCTTAGGCAACCCCTGGGAAAGGTCGTTCACATCCCACGGGGGTCTCCACCCACAGGTTGAGAACAAATGCTCCAGAGGGTGAGGCAGGATTATGGAGTTGGAAGACCAAGGCTGACCTATCCAGCAAGATTCTGTCTCAAAACTAAACTTAGAAAACATCCTAAAGACGTAAGCTTTACTCATCTGCAAAACTCAAGGGCTTGATTTCTGTCTTTTATATTATGTGAGTCAAAAGCTGCAGACCCTGGCAAGTTTCCCACTGGGACTCTATCCTGCCCCCTTCCAGTCTTGGACCACAGGAACCTCGGGTGTTTCACTTTGAACAGCCCTCCCCATTGTCACACCGAGAGGGGGCTAGAAATTTCTGCTGCTGCATCCCCAGCCCAACCCTTATTTCCTCACTCCCTTCTAGGGGTCTTCTGGGTGTCCCGCACATCTGAGACTGGGCCCCTCAGTGATACTGTCCCACAGCATTTAAAAGGACATATGCTGTATTTTGAATCTAGACTATGCCTCAGAGGTTTTATTGTACTTTGAAGCAGTGGGGCTTAGTGGGATGTGTACCTCTGTCCTGGCTAGTTTTATGTCAATTTGACACAAGCTGGAGTCATCTGAAAGGAGGAAACCTCAGTTGAGAAAATGCCTTGGTAAGATCAGCTATAGATGGGGTTGGGGATTTAGTTCAGTGGTAGAGTGCTTGCCCAGCAAGGCCAAGGCCCAGGGTTCAGGCCTCTGACTGGGAGTGGGGTTGGGGCTGGGAGAGTCTAGCTGAAGGGCATTTTCTTAATTAGTGATTGAAGGGAAGGGCCCAGGCTGTTGCGGGTGGGGCAATCCTTGGGCTCCTGGTCCTGGACTCTAAGAAAGCAGGCTGAACAAGCCACTAAGTAGGACCCCTCCACGGCCTCTGCATCAGCTCCTATCACGAGGTTTCAGCCCTGCTTTCGTTCCTGTCCTGACTTCCTCCAATGATGAACAGCAACGCGTAAGCTGAATAAACCCTTTCCTCTCCAAGTTGCTTTTAGTCATCATGGTGTTTTATTACTGCAGTGGTTACCGTAGCTAGGACAGCCCCCAAGAGGAATGTGACACCCTGGCCTCTTCCTTCTCCCCTACAGTTCATATCATCAATCATTTTATTACGTCTTGAGTTTCTGCCATGATGTGGTGCTCCCGCACTAAGCAGCATCATAGAGCAAAAATCTCCAGAACTGTTAGCCAAAGGTCTTGCTTTGTACCTTGGGCTGGAATTGAACTCATGACAATCCTGCCTCAGCCTTTGTTGTATGGTCCACAGCCCTACCTCCACCTTCTTTTTTGTAAGCTGTTGTCTCTGTTGTTTGCTACAGTAGCAGTAACCCTATTTTCCCCCCTTGGGCAAGTAAACTTGAGCTGTTGGTAGAGTGCATGCCTAAATGCATTAGTCAGGGTTCTCTAGAGGCACTAGCCAAGCTGACAGCCCAGATTAGCCATTAATCAGACCTACAGGCACAAAGCCCTGCCTTCAATCCCCGGTACCGTATAAAACTGGTATGGTGTTACATGCCTGTAACTCCAGTACTTGGTGGGCCTGAGGCAGTCTTAAAAAAAAAAAAAAAAAAAAAAAAAAAAAAAAAACCTCAGTGATTGAATCTGTTTCCCTATATTGTCTGTGCAAGGTCCGTTTCCTTTCCCAACAAGCCTGGGGTTCCAGTGTGGCTGACAAAAGAAAAGTTCCTGCTTGCACCAGAACAGGATAAACTACGTACAATGACCTACAAGGGCTGGCCTCTCTACTGGACTCCTATTTTCTAGTGTTTCGGCCAACACGATGATGCCTCCCAATCAGGAGCCCAAACAGCGTAATCTCTGTCCGAGCTGCAGCTGTCCTGGGAAGGAAAAGGCCTGGAGGTGGAGGGATTAAGGTGTCAGCAGGCTCTGGGAGATGCAGCCATGGAGGTGAAGGAGTGCCAGCCTCGCTTTTCTCTTCTCTCTTTGGAGACAGCGTCTCCCTGTGTAGCTGTCCTGGAACTCACTCTGAAAGCTGGACCACTTTTACTTGAAGGGTCCAAGGATTCCCTTTGTGGGAAGAAGGGTCCAAAGGGAGAAGTGTGGTAGCCTGGCAGCAATCTCTGGCGAGGGTGAGGTCAAAGCTTAGTGTTTCCTTGATCCAAGTTGTTGAGGGTTCTAAGAGGGGAACCTGGGGAGGCCAGTTCTCGGGGGACTGAAACTCTGGGGCAGCTTCCGTCATCAGTCAGGGTTCCAACATTTCTCCATCTCATTCCCTCTTCTACCATCCCCAGCCTTCAGCTCTGACTGCTGCTTGGGCTCCACCGAGGTTCAATGTTTAATCTGCTTGCCACCGCCTAGAATTCTGCTTACTGCTGACAGCATGGTTGAGAACTCAGCTTGAGTTCTTACATTTGGGCAGTTGGGCCAACACTTTCACAAACCTCAAACTGACTTTCCTTCTGCTTTTCTACCTGCTTTGAAAGGCCTAGGTGGAGACCTTACCTCTCTTGCCTAGCTGGGGTGGAGAGCAAAAGCGGCTCCTGGGAACAGACTGCTGCCAGGACCTGTGCTCTGAGAGTATTCCATAAACAGAACCTTTCTTGACCTCAGGGCTCAGCGGCTGTCTGGCATGTGTCTGGCCTGTGAATTCTGGCTTGATGCTGAGCCCGATGTCAGTCAGTGTAGGGCGGGAACCCAGTGAGTAAAGATAGAGGTGATTGTTCCTCAGGGTTCCTTGCATGGTCCTGCCTTCTAAGAGGAGAGGCAGGCCGTTGAAAAATTCACAGAAGGCGGCAAAAGCAGAAGGCTGAGCCACAGCCTCTGGAGGAGCAAAGTGAGAGGCAGAGAACGGCAGAGGCCGGGTGCAGGGTCATAGCTAATTTGCCAAGGGCTGAAATTTGTAATTCTTTTATTATTTTTTTTCCTTGATTTTCCTGGACAATGATGCAGCTAAGGGACAAACGCACTTGTGTTCTCTAAGAGGACCAGGCACAGAGATGGAGGCTGGCAAAACCATCACCCTGGCCAAATCCTCCCCTTGGGGACTAGAAGATCTCCAGCCGACGACAGTCTGGAACGTAAGGCCACTTTTGGGTGGGGAGTTGGGAAGGGTGTAGTGTCCAAGCCTGTGCTCCTTTGCCACCAGGATAGCAGGATGGGCGGAGGGTGGTGGTGGAGTCACTAGTCCTACACAGAAGATGTTCCCAGTGGACTCTCTCCCTGCCTGAGGGACACCTAACATTCTGTGCTACATAGATCAGTGGGGGAAGCTGAGCCACTTCCAAAGATCATAGCCATTGTGTCCAGAGCCCCCAAAATGCCAGGCACCCTCAGGCAAGCAGTGGTTCATCCTCTGCCTCGACCACCCACACCTCTGGCTCAGCAAGTGGCATTAACAGTACATCGTCCTCATCCTCTGGGGCCAAGCCTGTTGTGTGAGGTCCAGCTGGGGTCCAGGTGGGTCCTGGGGACCACAGGCTGGGTAGGAGGCGGCCCCGTAGAACCTGTACAACTCCAGACAACAGTGATGGTTCTACAGGCACTGAGGGTAGTGGGCCTGGAGGCTCAGTGACAGCAGCAAGGGCTGGAAGTGTGCTTGGGGTTGGGATGGGGGCCTTGATGGGTAGCGGAGGAGCCTGGTCCCCGTCCTGGCCCCCGACTGCCCCACCTTCACAGGCCTGGCCTGTGCTGTCATCCAGGGCCTCAGAGGGAACAGAAGGTGTGACCTGGGATCTGGTCTCAGGGGCCCGAGCTGGGGTATTGGTTCGAGGAAGCAGACCCCAACGACGGAGACGGCGCACCAGACGACGAACAGAGCGGCCCCGCTGGCGACGGCGGCCCCCTGAAGGACCCCCTGGGGTCATATCTTGGCGTAAGATCTGGAGCAGAGAACGTAGGTTCCCCAGCACAGAGTTCTGCAAGGAGAAGAGGCAGACATCAGAGTTGGGGGCCGGATGGCTAGGCAGGAGACAAGGCTGCCACCACTGGCCCAAGGCGGAAGGAGTGACTTACATCATTAGGGTTCTCTGTGGGGAAGTCTTCCACAGGTGGGATGGCACCCTGAGCAATGAGCTGCCCGTAGGAAGGGGGTGCCTGCTGCTGCACGATCTCAGCCTCCATTCGGGAGAGCGGGGCAAAGATGCTAGAAGGAAGGAGGGCCGCCCGGTCAACAGCCCCTCCCAGGGACTCCCAGTCAGCCCGGAAGGCCTCTTCCCTCCAGACCCAGGCCAGGGCAGATGGAGCTATGCCATGTCCCACGCCTTGGTACAAAGTCATACCTCTTCCTTCCTAGAGACTGTTCTCACAAGCTGAGCACAGGAAACACTCTTCAAGGTGGGCCTGCCCAGGCTTCAGGAACCGGAGGGCCCCACCTCACCCTCAGGCCCCTCTTTTCTGAAGCCTGCCCCATCCCTACTGACCTGTATTCCTGGGTGCGAATGGCATAGAGTTTGCAGGTGCAGCCCAGGGCGATGACCAGCAACAGGCCGCACACGAGGCTGCCGATGACCGCCGCTGTGATGACCTTCCGGGGCAGAGCGTAGGAGCAGTCCCACTCATCGCTGCCATCCGTACAGTCCGGCTGGCCGTCACACACCCACGTCTCATACACACACTTCTCATCCCGGCATCGGAAGTTGCCGGGCTGGCAATGCCGGCAGCGCCTCTCGTCTGCCCCGTCCGCACAGAATGTCTGGTAGTTGCAGCGGTCAGCAGGCAGGTAGCAGGCTGTGGCCCCAGGGGTGCCAGCAGCTCCACAGGGGAAGTGCCCTGGTGGGCAGCCGGGGCAACCCTCCTCGTCTGTGCCATCGGCACAGTCCCACGAGCCATCGCAGCGCTGTGCCTCACTGTAGCAGCGTTCACCTAGGTTCTCGCCAGCCCCCAGGCCCGAGCCCAAGCCACAGGGTCTGTCCCAAGGTAGACAGTAGCCCCGAACATGGTAGGTAGCATTAAAGCCCCGGCCACTGCTCCACGCAACTGTGTGGTAGGACACAACAGCCTGACCAGACAGGGTTTCCACAGTGACAGCCTTGCCATTGCTGAAGTGTGTGAGACTGCGTAGCAGCCGAGGGGTCTCGGGGGGCCCAGGGCCATCATACACGTGCACCGCGTCTCCATAGCCCAAGTCTAGGGCTGTGAAGCGCACTGCCAGCCTCCGGCCATCATGGGGGTCCAGCAGCCACAGGCAGGACTGCGGGTGGGAGGCTGAGGGCAGGTGTGAATATCCAGGGGAGGAAAAGACCCCGTAAAAGTCCTCCAAGGTAAGATTGCAGGGCAGAGTTGCAGGGGCTGGGTTCAGGTTAGAGAACGGATCTGAGCTGCAACCTGCCTCGTCAGAGCCGTCGCCACAGGCATCAATCCCGTCACAGCGTTGGGCAGCAGGCACACAGCGGTGGTTCAGGCACTGGAACTCTTCCTGAAGGCAGAGCAGCCAATCTGCAGAGGCATCATAGAGACTGGGAAGCAGAAGAACTCCCAACACCCTCGTCTCTTCCCTGGGACTCCCACTCCTGCTCTACTGGCCCCAGGGCGCTCCTTGTTTAGCCTACCTTGACTATAAGACAGCAAAAAGCCCTGGCCCATGGGTGCTCTGGCCCCAGCATAGCTGTATGTAATGGTCACATTGCCCCCTGGCAGCTGCAAAGGGCTGGCAGGAGCCTCACACAGGGAGACCAGTGGCTGGAGAGGGGAGTGCAGGGTCAAATGCTCTGAGCCACAGGCCAGGTGCAGCTTCTGGAACCTACAAGGCACAGAAGAGCAAGAGATGAGATGCGCTGGAGTTTTGCTCGCTCCCTTGATGACAGGTGCCTGGTAGCCCAGGAAGTACAAATACTGCCTTACCCATGATTCAGAGATCCAAATGAAAACCCAGCCAATCCTTTGGCAGTTAATAGAATCAACAGGGAAGGTTCCAACAGAGGCACCCTCAGACCACAGGCCCTTTCCTAAAACCCTCTGAGAGAACTGACTTGTGCTCAGGGACTGAGGTGAGACCAGGCGTATCATTTTCCAGTTGCTACAACGCCATCACTCAAGTGCAGTGCCCAGCAGTTAGCTGGCAGAATGTACCACAGTTCAACTAGCCACAACGGCTCAGCTCCACAGCCCACGAGGTAAAATCTGAGACAACCCATGCTGGTCCCCTGGGCTGTAACAGCATTTTTTTATATTGTTCTCTCCTTTATACACTTTTCTGGATATATTCCTTGCTTTTGGGTTTTTTGTTTGTTTGTTTGCTTTGTTGTTTTTCTGAGAGAGGGTTTTTCTGTGTAGCCCTGTCTGTCTTGGAACTTGCTCTGTAGATTGGGCTGACTTTGAACTCACAGAGATCCACCTGCCTCTGCCTCCTGAGTGATGGGATTAAAGTCGTGCACCACCACCGCCTAGCTCTGCGCAAATTCTTAGCAAAAGAAGTGTGTGTGAAGCAAAAAGCCATTTGACATGGGCCCCAAGGAGGAGACTCAGAATGTTAGCGAATTTGGGGTAAGGAGCTAGGATTATTGCTTAGAGGTGGAGTACTCTCACCTAGGAAGTGTGAAGCCCTGAGTTGTGTCCCAGTACTGAAAGGAGAATAAACAAAATAAAAACAGCCCCCGAAAAAAAAATCAATATTGGGCATAGTGACTTCACAGGAAACCTCAAAACTTGGGAGGATGAGATGGACCACAAGCTTAAGGCCAACCTGGGCTACACAGTGAAATTCTGTCTCAAAAGCAGCAAACAGAAAGAAAGGAGAGGAGAGCCAAGGGGAGGAGAGACGTGAGGAGAGAAGGAAAGGGGAGAGAAGAGTGAAGATAGGAAGGAAGTGGAAAAAAAGGGAGCGAAAGGGTGGAGCAGCGGGATGCAGAAAGACAGACCTGCAGAAGGTTCGCTTTCTGGGGACTGGACTCAGGCCTTCCGCACACCCGGCGCAGTCTGCCCACCAATGAGCTCCTAATACAGTCCTCCGAGGGAGTGTCTAAGCTGATTGACAAGTAGGCCACGCATGCTCTGGATTACAGGGCTCATGGTGAGTCTAGCTGAGCCCAGAGTAATTTCTAGAGTTCTTTAAAGACGGCCTGTGCCCAAGCTAAGCGCCCACCGCAGCCCAGCTTCAACCTGCCATCTCTCTGGCCCAGAAACCGAGTTTTCAGGCTTTTTCCGAGGGAGAGGGAAGGGGCGGTACAGAGAAATGGGGACTTGCCTTGTTTCTCACCTGACAGTTACTGTCTGTTCCTTGCTGCCCAGAATGACCCAGGTGCAGTTGGCAGGGGAGCTGCGGCTGTCCCGGCCCAGGGGCCTCTGTAAAGTGCCCTGTACTTCCGAAAGCACTGCCGGGGGAGCCTCACAAGCTGGAGGGAGAAGGGGGGGACACTGGGATAGTCCTTTAAGATTCCGCCTCGCACGAAGCTTGCTACCTCCGGATGCCTCAAAAGGGTACAGAAACTCCTGCCCACCACTTAAAGCCCACTGGGCCTGCCCTCCTCTCCATTTTTTTTTTTTTTTAATTTAGACAAAGTCTCTTAGGCTATCCTCAAAGTCACTATGTAGCTAAGGCTGGCCTTGAGCTGATCCTCCTGCCTCAGCCTCCCAAGTGCTGGGATTGATTATAGGAGTCAGCCAGCCCCATCTCTTTTCCATATTCTTCATACTTCGTCTTAAATATTAACGCCATAAGTACCGTTAAGGTAGGCTTCGTGCCAGTCACAGGGCCTACAGTCAGAGGAAATACTGTTTCTACTCACTGGTTCATAACAACTGCCAGGTGTGAGCTCACACTGGGCCTCAGTTTCCCCTTCTGCAAAATAATGGATGATCCCTTTTCTAAAACTACAGTAGATCCCGGGATCCAGGAGAGAGTCTTTCTCTTGGATGTGTGTTCATTACCATGCTCCAGAATCCTAGGAACTCCCTCTACTCACCAGAATTTGGAAAAGTGATCCGGTCTGAACGGGCCAGAGCACCTCCTAGAGGGGGATCGAGAAAGGGCAACAGAGTGAGTCACAAGTTTTCTTCACCTGGGCAACTCCAGAAGGAGGCCCATCTGAGACTTCCGGGCAGTTTATAGGAAGGGGTAGAGGAGCCGGAAGGAGGGCAGTGACCTCGCCGAAAGGTCGTCTTCCCTGGCTGTGGGTGGGAGGGACGACGTGGGACAGCCGGAGAGGGGCCGAGGCTCGAAGAGGCTGCGGTCGCAGGAGGCGGGGGTCGTTCTGGAGGGCGCGGGACGGCGGGCACTGACATCGGGGCGGGGACTCTTACCGAGGAGGAGGAGAAGGGGGAGGGCCGGTAGCATCCTGGGTCGAACAGGGGTGCCGGCAGGGTCCCGGGGCGCCGTGCGTCTACCTGGCAGCGGGCTCCTCAGGGCCGCCGGGCGGGGGCTGCATAGCCCCGGAGCGCCCCGGGCTCGGGGTGCCACGGCTGGACGCACGGCGGAGCGGAAGAGGGGCGACGCCTCTCGCCAACTTCAGAGTTGATCTCTCCTCACCCGTGCCCGGCCGTGCTCGCCCGCAAGGCCGCGAGCGTCCCCGCCAGGCCCGGCCGCACCTGCCGGGCTCGACGCTGCGTCCCCCACGGACTAAACTTTGAGGACTGTCCGTCCCCGACCCGGCGCGCGGCTCGGTCCCCGCGACCCCCGGGGAGCGGGACAGCGGCTTTGCACGGCTCGCGCTGCCGGCGGACCCCGGCCGAAGCCCAGCAGCCGCCGACGAGGGGCGCGGCCAGCCTGGCCCCACCCCTGCCAGTCACGGCGCGGCCCCGCCCACCCCGCTCAGCCCTTTTCCGGGTTACTTTGCTCGGGCTGCGGCTAGCTCGGTGCCCGCTGCCCGCGTTGTTTCTCGGACGCGTCCTGTCAAAGGACGTCTGCCTGCTTCGTTAAGTGTTAACTGTTCAGTGTCTCCGGGCCCTCACATTTTCAGTACTTTTTCTTGACCCAGCGCCCGAGAGCCAGCGGCGCTTCTGGTAGTAAACATTTGCTGAACCAGTGACCAGGCGCTATTGTAATTATCGGTTACAGTGTTTATTCATCGCTCCCGCCCCAGCTTTGGAAACTGACACTTCCTGTAGGCTGAGACGCCGTAAGATCGCAACAAATGGTAAATACATAATATTGCTTCATCACTTGCTGGTTCTGTGAACTTGAGGAAATTACTCCTCAGTTCAGCAAAGCTGTAGAATTGAGGTTCGCGATAGCGCAGCTCCCTCCGAGGTTCCTTGTGAGTGATAGTGTAGGCTGGGCCCTGAACAGAGGCAGACAGAGAAAGTGAAGTGCCCCTATCCGGATAGCCACTATTATTTCCATTCACAGGATGGTATTCCGGTTTCCTGTGGCACGGGTGGGTGATATTTACAAAAGAACCACAAATTGAGCTCCCTCCCCCCACATTTCAGGCATATACCTAACTCTGCAGTCAACAGTCCTGTGAGGTGGATTCAGTGGTTACTTCCATTTTACAGACAAGGAAGTGCAGGTATGGAGAAGTCCCCAAGGTGAACACCCTAATCTGAAACTTCAAATCTGAAAGGCTCCCACAATTTAAACTAAAATAAGCACCAACATAGTGCCGAGGGTGGGAAATTCCATACCGCGACACCTTGTTTCATCTCCAGAACTGCTAAAAATATTCATTAAATTTATCTTCAGGCTACTTGTAATGTGGATATGAAGCATGAAAGAGTTCCAATCTGTGTGCTGGGGCATACATGCAGCATGTATGTATGTACATGTCAACATGTATATATATATATATGTGTGTGTGTGTGTGTGTGTGTGTCAACAAATATTTCCAGCGCTTCTAGGGATTACTCATCATATGCTAGGCAATGCTCATAGCATTTTACATATATTATCTCACTGAAAGGTGACCACACCTCTGGGAAGTCAGTGTTGTTTTATAATTGAGGAAACTGAGTCACAAATAGTTGAGATAACTTGTTCTAAATCAAACCCTTAGCATGTGAAAAACAACAAGACTCAGTCAGGTTGTCTGGACCAGACTCCCTGCTGTTAAATATGACTTGGTTGATTCTAGAATCTTCAGATCAAAGACTTTGTTTTAGGGAGGGTCTCTTTTATCCTAGGCTGTTCTTGAACTCCTGATTCTCTTGCCTCTACCTCCAAAATGATGGGATTATAAACACCTCCAGCTAGAACAAGCATTTTGATACCTGACTGCTTTTAAGAATAGATTTCATTCAAGAAACAGCTGGACATGTTGGTGTTTGCTTTCAGTTCCAGCCCTCAGGAGGCCAAGGCAGATGGTTCTCTACCCATCTAAGGCCAGCCTGGTGTACCTAGCGAGTTCCAGGCTCCAGGCCAGCCAATACTACATAGTGAGAGCTTGTCTCAGATTCAAACGAACAAAATACTAGATTGTTTGTGAATAAGGAAAGAGGTTATCTGCCAACCATTCACCTGTTTTCAGATTCACTGGGCTGCCTCTTTCTACAAACTGCATTTCCAGGCTTCCTTTCAGAATAATCTTGGTCTAGTCTCAGCTGTCAGGAGAAGACAGGGGCAGGAAGGAGGAAGGAGCCAGGATGTGCCTCAAGCCCTGGCTTCGACTTTGGGTGGAGCTAGGACTCGGCCATGGTTCCAGCTCTGGTTGGGTAGCTCAACATCTAGCCTCTCCAGTCCTACCACCGCCTTCTTTGCTCCTCAGCTTCTTCCCACTATCTCGGCAGCTCCTTTCAGTGTTTCGGTGATTTCATCTTATCTGTACATATTTCTCCCGCACACATTTTTTTACAGCCATGATTTATTTTATTTATGTGAGTATGAGTGTGTGAGTGTGTGGTGTGTGTGGTGTGTGTGTCGCATGAGTATGAGTACCTGTAGAGTCCAGAAGAGGGCATCAGATCCCCCTGTGGCTGGAGTTACGTGCGCTTGTAAGCTGCCAAATGTGGGAGCTGGTTACTGACCTCCAGAAGAGCAGAAAGCACTTTCGTCTGCTGAGCCAGTTAATGTGTAGAAATAGAATTTCATGTAGCTGAGGCTGGCTTTGAACTCCTCATCTTCTGCCTCTACCACCCCAGTGCCAAGGTTACAGATATGTGTCACTACTAGATTTTTGTTTTTTAATTAAAAATAATTTTAACTAATTAATTTGTGTGTGTGAGTGTATGTGGGAATGTGTGTGGAGTCAGGTCTCTCCACCACTATGTGAGTTCCAAGGATTAAACTCAGTTCACTGGTGGGGCCTTTCCCTGTTGTGCCATCTCCATGGGTTTCTTCTCCATTTATTTGTTTGTTTGTTTAGTAAGCGTGTGTGTGCCCTGGAGTGAGCATGCATTCTTTCCCCCCCCCTTTTTTTGTTTACTGAGACAGGCTGAGCATGCATTCTTCTGAAGGTCAGAGAGTAATTTTCATGAGTCAGTTTTCTCCCTCCGCCCTGCGAGTTCCGGGGATTGAATTTAAGTTGCCAGGAGTGGCGGCAGGCATCCTTACCCACTGAGCAATCTCTTCTGTCCAAGTTTTTTTTTTTTTTTTTTCCTTTTGTGAAAAAATATAATGCTAGCCTTGGTAGTACACACGTTTAATTCTGGTACTTAGGAGGCAGATGCAGGTGAATGGGCATCTGTGAGTTCAAATCTAGCCTGTTCTACATAGAGTGATCTTGTCTCAAAACAACAAATTATATATTTTTAAATATACATTTAAGATTTATTTATTTTTATTTGAGTGTATGGATGTTTTGCCCGCATATATGTGTGTGCCATGTGTACACCTGGTGCCTAAGGAGGCCAGAAGAGGGCATTAGGTCCTCTGAAACTAGAGTTACAGACAGGTGTGAGCCACCATGTGGGTGCTGGGACCTGAACCCGGGTCTTCTAAAGAGAAGCTAGTACGCTTAACCACTGAGTCATTTCTCAAGCTCCCCCAAATACAGCATTTTTTAAGTTCCTTGACATATAACATTTTTATTATAGTCACTTCTCACACCACCCCTAACTCCTCCCAGACCCCCCCACACCTATGCCTTCCAACTTTATGTATTCTTCTCCTCCTCCTTTTTGATTTTTTGAGACAAGATTTCTCTGTGTAGTCTTGGCTGTCCTGGAACTCGATCTGTAGACCAGGCTGGCCTTGGACACAGAAACCTGCCTACTTCTGCCTCCTGGGTGCTGCTGCTGCTGCTTCTCCTTCTTCTCCTCTTCCTTCTTTTAGGGCTTATTTTTATTTGTTTGTATGTACCTTTTGCCTAGACGTGTTTATATGCATCTCATGTGTGCCTGGTGGCTGAGAAAGCAGAAGAGAGCAATAGATCTCCTGGGGCCGGCCGGAGGTAAGGGTGGTTGTCAGCTACCCCATGGGAATTGGGAATGGAACCTGGATCCTCTTCAGCACAGCAAGTACTCGTAGCCTCTGAGATATCTATTCAGCAACCCGTCATTCCACCATGTCCAATATGTGCTGTCCATATTCGTGAGCATGTACAGTCCCCTGGACTGTAATCTGCCTACCAGGGGCACATCCCTCAGGAGAACTGATGCCCGCTCCCCTAGACGTATCAGTTGTCCTTAGCTAGAGTGGCGATTCATGAGCCCCTAGCCCTGCTGTGCTGGATTGGCTTGACTGGCATATTGACTGGTTTCATCTTGTGCAGGTCTTGCGCAGGCAGCCATAGCCGCTGCAGTGAGTTTTTGAGTGCAGCGGTCCGATCGTGTCCAGAAGTCAATGTTTTGCTCAGGTCCTCCCCAACCTCTGGCCCTTACAATCTTTTTGTCTCCTCTTCCATGGTGGCCTCTGAGCCTCGGGTGAAAGGTGTGAAGTAGCTGTCCCATTTGTGGCTGAGCACTCCACAGACACTTACTCTCTGTCCTTTGATCAGCTGTGAGTTTCTGGGTTAACCACCTTGTACAGTGTAATAAAAAAATCTCTGATGGCATCAGGTTGCTGCACTAATTACAGAAGTGCGGATACAGAGGCAGCTTGATTCTGTGTCCATTTAGCAAAATAATAGCAGTAAGTTCACCTTTGGAGCTCCCAAGTACAAGTTCTTGGTGAGATTCACAGTACAGGAACAGGCTTCCTCCTGTGCCACAGGCCTAAATCTAACCAGAAAGCAGTTGCTTACCTCTGTCTTAGTCACTGTTCTGTTGCTGTGAACAGACACCACGGCCGGAGCAACGCTTTTGTTGTTGTTGCTGCTGCTTCATTTTTCAAGACAGGGTTTCTCAGTGTGGCCCTGGCTGTCCTGGAACTCACTCTCTAGACCAGGCTGGCCATAGAACTCACAGGGGTCTGCCTGCCTCTGCCTCCTGAGCGCTGGGAATAAAGGCCTACACCACGACCACCCGGTTCAGGGTAACTCTTATAAGAGAAAGCATTTAATCGGGGGCTTGTGTATGGTTTCCGAGGTTTAGTGCAGTATCATCGTGGTGGGGTGGGGCGTGGTGGTCTGTAGGCAGGCATGGTGCTGGAAAAGTAGCTGAGGGCTCCGTCCTGAGCCATAGGCAGAGGGAGGGAGGGAGAAAGGGACTGAGAGAATGAGAGAGACTGGATCTGGCATGGGTTTTTGAAACTTAAAAGCCCAACTCTCAGTGACAGCTTCATTCAACAAGGCCATGCCTCATAGTCCTTCTAATCCTATCAAACGATTCCACTCCCTGGTGACTAAACATTCAAGTGTATGAGTCTATGGGGCCATTCCTATTCAAACCACCACATTCATTCACTCACCACCTCCCCTAGACTTATAGCCATATCATAATACAAA